GATGAATGAACTGATGAATGAACTGATGAATGAACTGATGAATGAACTGATGAACTGATGAATGAACTGATGAACTGATGAATGAACTGATGAATGAACTGATGAACTGATGAATGAACTGATGAACTGATGAATGAACTGATGAATGAACTGATGAATGAACTGATGAACTGATGAATGAACTGATGAATGCACTGATGAACTGATGAATGAACTGATGAACTGATGAATGAACTGATGAACTGATGAATGAACTGATGAATCAACTGATGAACTGATGAACTGATGAATGAACTGATGAACTGATGAATGAACTGATGAACTGATGAATGAACTGATGAATGAACTGATGAACTGATGAATGAACTGAAGAACTGATGAATGAACTGATGAACTGATGAATGAACTGATGAATGAACTGATGAATGAACTGATGAACCGATGAATGAACTGATGAATGAACTGATGAATGAACTGATGAACCGATGAATGAACTGATGAATGAACTGATGAATGAACTGATGAACTGATGAATGAACTGATGAATGAACTGATGAATGAACTGATGAATCAACTGATGAACTGATGAATGAACTGATGAACTGATGAATGAACTGATGAATGAACTGATGAACTGATGAACGAACTGATGAATGAACTGATGAACTGATGAATGAACTGATGAACTGATGAATGAACTGATGAACTGATGAATGAACTGATGAATGAACTGATAAATGAACTGATGAATCAACTGATGAACTGATGAATGAACTGATGAACTGATGAATGAACTGATGAACGAACTGATGAATGAACTGATAAATGAACTGATGAATGAACTGATGAACTGATGAATGAACTGATAAATGAACTGATGAATCAACTGATGAACTGATGAATGAACTGATGAACTGATGAATGAACTGATGAATGAACTGATGAACTGATGAATGAACTGAAGAACTGATGAATGAACTGATGAACTCATGAATGAACTGATGAATGAACTTATGAATGAACTGATGAATGAACTGATGAACTGATGAACGAACTGATGAATGAACTGATGAATGAACTGATGAATGAACTATTGAACTGATGAATGAACTGATGAACTGATGAATGAACTGATGAACTGATGAATGAACTGATGAATGAACTGATAAATGAACTGATGAATCAACTGATGAACTGATGAATGAACTGATGAACTGATGAATGAACTGATGAACTGATGAATGAACTGATGAATGAACTGATGAACTGATGAACGAACTGATGAATGAACTGATGAATTGATGAATGAACTGATGAACTGATGAACTGATGAATGAACTGATGAACTGATGAATGAACTGATGAACTGATGAATGAACTGATGAATGAACTGATGAACTGATGAACGAACTGATGAATGAACTGATGAATTGATGAATGAACTGATGAACTGATGAACTGATCAATGAACTGATGAACTGATGAATGAACTGATGAACTGAATGAATGAACTGATGAATGAACTGATGAACTGATGAATGAACTGATGAATGAACTGATGAACTGATGAACGAACTGATGAATGAACTGATGAATTGATGAATGAACTGATGAACTGATGAACTGATCAATGAACTGATGAACTGATGAATGAACTGATGAACTGATGAATGAACTGATGAATGAACTGATGAACTGATGATTAACAGAAAATTTCAGGGAATTATGATGTTTTCATGAAAATTCTGATTGTTTCAACAGAATCAGGAAGTGGCAGAAGCTGCTAGTTGAGGAACTTCTTGGTAACTTTGGGAATCCTGCTGTGGATCATCGTGGCACTCGAATTGTCAACATCTCGTAAATACAATCAATATTACATATTTTACTGGTTCTCTTTATCAAAAATATCTTGGGAAGACGTTGCTGCGGCGGCGTAGTAGTTTAGCACAACCCACATATGGAGGCCTTAGTCCTCGACGCGGCTGACGCAGGTTTGATTCCCGGCAACATTTGCCACATGTCTTCCCCTCTCTCCTTACTTTCAAAAAATATACGGGCCACTACAGCCAACAAAAACCCTTGGAGAAAAAAAATCTCTGGAATAAAATATAATTCATTTCTCTCTGATTCCAAGTCGGCACGACCCACAAGGTTACATTTTGTTTTGTAGGCAAATGAATGTTTGCTCTCAAATCAGTAAATAACATTTTCAGATGATAGTTTTTCTGAGTCTTTTAACAGACAGTCCTGACAATCATAAAGTTTGGTTTTTGGAGTGACTCAAACTGCAGATAAACAAACACGTGGAAACTCTCTGAATTCTAAATCAGTCAGTGACTGCAGTCCAGAGCCATCATGGCTGCTCCATCAAACGTCTTTAAATATTTGCTTTGTTCATAGACAGCGAGCTGACATGGCGGACACGTGACAAATGTCTGGGCAAAGGTTCACCAGCGTTTCTGATTTCTGAGATTATGTGGCGTCTCCAAAATCTTTAACAGGGCGACTGTCAGTCTGTTCTGGTTTGGCATCACTGGATGGTTTGGAAATATTACAGTTGAATTACAAACCCAAATTCAAAGTCCGGTGAAGATGGCAAGTGAGATCATCAACACTCTGGATCTGTCCTCTGTCTGATCAGGTGCAACCAGAACATCCAGGCTGATGGGATGTGACCCATCAGCCTGGATGTTCTCATGGATTCAGGAGAAGGTTCAGTTTCCTCTGTGGAAATAGAACCGTCTGAAACATTTGCTTGGACCCAGACCCAGTTCTACATGACCCCACCTAACCCCATAACCCTGACATTAACCCCCATAACCCTGACATTAACCCCCAATCCCAACTCTGACCTCCTGTCAATCAGCCTGGTAAACTGCCGACCACCATCTGGACCAGATGTGACTGTAACAACTTTAGAAAATATGCTTTTATTTATTTTTATTATCATGTTTGAAATTCCACCAAATCCTGATTAATTCTGAAGAATCTTATGTTCCTATTATATTTTAAGAATGTTGTTATTATACTTATTCTGATAAGCACCAGTATCTGTACTGTAAGAGAGCATCTTATGACATCAGTACTGTACTACCTTCAGTTGGCGCTAGGCTGCCTGAGAAGAGGTTGGAAATTTTCTTTGCTTTTGGTTGAGCTCACATTTTATGAAATATTTGAAATAATTGTATGTACATGCAGCTGTGAATGTCTATTTGTTTTAATACAAACAGAGGAGCATTCTTTCTGAGAGTTAAGAACATTTTACTTAAATGTTAGGCCAGATATTGTTATTAGTTATTAGTTAGTCACAGGGTTTCTCCATGTGCTTACCTGCTAGGGGAAGAGCTGCAAGTTAAAGGACATTTTTATTTCTTTTGTCCAGGCCTCTGCCAGTGACCTGCATTAAAGAACAACCAGCAACTCCTGATCCGACTCCCTTCTTCAATTCAACATATCAAGGTTAACCAGTTGTATAAGACTAGGTTGCCAGAAAACAACTCTTTTAGTATACACCGGTTACATGACCAAGAGTAGAACTCAGAGGATGTGAATGGAGATGGTTATGGGGATGAACAGGTGGCAGTTGGACTGCAGACAGCCAGTCTACAGGCTCTCTATGCCTGGCGCTGCTCTAAGCTATTCTTCTAACCTTTGCTGACGTTTTCAGTTTCTCTTTGGAAAATTATTCACATTTTCATACAATTTGAGCTGCCTGACAACTCATCTGGTTCACTTTCTTTCATTTTGTTGGAAACATCAGTTTTGTCAGGTGTTTGTGACCAGTGGACTGGCATATTCAGTCTGACTGCAGCTGGAAGCCGTTATGAAGTTAGTGAGAAGCTCAGCCTGCTCTGCACCTTCCCAGTCAGGAAATGGCTGAAGCTTAATTCCAATTTCTAATTTCTCACTACCTTCAGCTTCATTAATCTACTACAACAGCTCTAATAGCAGAATATCTAGAGCCGCCTCATGTCTCCAAGGCTCTGCTCCCTGTTGGCCCAGTTTGACTTTTCTTTTCTTTCTGCTCCCAGTCATTTGCCAGTAAAATAGAATAATCCAGTCCAGGTGTAGCAGTTTTTTAACTAGAGTAGATTAAAGAAGCTATTAGTTGGAATCAGCCTTTAAGCATTTTCTGAATCAAAAAGCAGCTGCAGCAGGTGATGCAGCAGGTGATGCAGCAGCGTCACCTGCTGCAGCTCCACCGGCGGTTAGAGTCGCTGCCACCATTTGAGCTCATAATCACAGTAAACTGATCTGGTCCCACAGGGCACAACGGGTCAGAACAGCGGTTCTGATGGTCTGTGCCTACCTGGTGGCGACGCACACATGGATGCTACGTCACACTCTGCTGACTCAGCACATGTCTGATAAATCCAGTTTCGTTTCATGTGTTTTATTTCATTGCAGATTACAGTAATCTTTATTTAACTGATTTTATACCAGGCTTTCAGTAAGTTGCTGGATGACTTCATGGTTTACTTTTCATAAAAGCAGCTAGTAAATATAATTATGGCTTTAGTTTAGTCTGCAATGTTGTTACTGTGAACAAGTTATTATTTGGCCCTTACTCAGGACTAAATATGTTGTTTTGTGGTTATTTCGTCCCTATATTTTAAAATATTTGAGCTTAATTACTCTTATATTCTTAGACTTTGCTGAATAGATGTGGGACTGAAGCTGCAATAGCCTATAATATCAGTGCATATCAATCATATGCAGCTCGATGACACATTGTGGCTCATTTTAATTAAGTCTGTCATACAACAAATGAAAGGAGTTGTGATGATCTGTATTTGTCTTTAATTCCAATAAAAAGCAGTTTCTCCATCTGATGCTGTTTTATTCTTACAAACTCTGAATTTAAAACATGTCTAACATGCTAGTAGAGTTAGCTATCTATCTGAACCACAGAAGGAAAATCTGACAAGGTAGCATTGATAGTCAGAACAGCGGTTCTGGTCTAACGGATCAGAACCAGCAGGCGGCAATGCTCCACTTACGTATTCCCAGCCGCCAAGGTATGAGAAGGCGAGGATGAAGGCGATGATGGTGGTTGCCACGGTGAAGCTCATCACGGAGACATGGACCTGCAGGAACATCCATGTTGTCATGGAGACAGCACGGTGCCAGGTACTGAAGGGCCTCCGCGGGTCAGAACCGGCTCCACATGGAAACTCACCACAAACCACAGATCTTTGCCAAACATCTGGACCTGGCTTGGTCTTCTCTGGTACCGAGCCACAATCATCCCCAGCGGACCAAAGGTCATCCAGGCGAGCAGCATCAGGCAACCTGGAGGTCACAGGGTCGTTTAGCTGCCAGCAGCTAACGGCTCCCGGTTGGCCGTCCGATGGCTAACGGCTCTAAACCAATACTAGTCAAGCATCTTCTTATCTGCCACAAACTGCGATTCATCGTGTGTAGCGCCTCCACTTGGTAAGTATATGAACAGAAAAAACAAACTTTTCATTCAAATTTGTTTTGGTAGCTAACACTTTTAGTTTGTAGGAAAAAATAAGAAAATTATTTAGTCTACCAAGGGGGAAATTTTCTTTGACTTTAAACAATAAAACATTCATAGAATCACAATATCAACAATTTGTGCATCGCTAAAGCATTTTGTACACTATGGGCAAATGTTCAATTGGTTAAGAATAATTATTGCACTGCCTATAAATGACTTCTAATCGATATTCTCAGTCACCAGAAACACAATGATGCCTTCAGGAGGTCAGAGGTCAAACTGATGAAAACGAGGATGAGGAAGACTCACCGTGGGCTCTGATCATCTGCTCCTTTCCATCACTTTGCATCACATTAGGAGATGTCAGCGCCACCTTGTGGCTGCTGCTGTAAGCTTTCTTGTGCTCCATGATGACCCCTGTTGGACACAGAAGAGCCAGAGGACAGTTTTTATGAATATTTGGGTTATAAACTCAAACTATATTTTCAATAATTACTGATCTTCATATTGTCATTGATGACTTGGTGGTTTGGCCATTTGTAGCGCATGGTCAATCCTTTGCACATGAGAAATTTGATTTTGACCCATTTGGATTATCATTCAATCAATCAATCAATCAAATTTGATTGATTGCAACAGCAAGGCATTTCAAAGTGCTTTACATTATGAAAACATAACATCATGCAACTTAAAATGAATTTGTGATTTCAGTCATAATTTATTCCAGTATTTAAACTGGCTGGCCTGCGTAGCCTCAAGAGAAAAAACCCTCAATAATAATGACATTGAACAGCAATAATCATGTGCTGGGTGATCAAAACACACGAGTTGAGCCATTTGATGAACTGCTTGATACACCTGTGACTCTAAACAACAAGTTTCTGCTGCAGGCTGCTAGATTCTGGTTCCATGGCCGGCAAGTTGAGTGAAAAGGTGGAACAAATGATGCTGAATTACAACTCACCCTAACCCCATAGATCCAGATCTATAGATCTAGATCTATAGATCTAGAGCTGTATAGCTCTAGATCTATAGATCTAGAGCTATAGATCTAGAGCATCCAGACAGCAGCAGCTGGAGCTTCACCGACTCATCATTTTTTCCAGGGTTTTATGATTAATGGTTTAAAATGGGTCATTTTTTCTGCATTTGTTTTGTTTGGGTCCAGCTTTGGTTCTGGCTTCAGAGTCGATGTGCAGATTAATCCTCTGATTTGATGAATTTTCTCTGAAAAGAAGCTGAAAACTTGTTGCATTAGACTGAAGTTCAGGAGGTTCAGTCTCTGCAGGGTGTGATTCTGTCAACTGCTGCAGATAAAGATGGAGCTTTGTGGATGATTTTGTTTATGACATCTGCAAAGAAAGCTTCTCTTGCATGTTTTAGTGTTGACTGATAGTTGCTCACTGTGTCTTTCTTTATAGATGTCATAACAAACATGAAGTTGACTTTTTTCTCGTAGGCGCTTACAGACAGTCTGAGGTGTGACGTGTCTGTTCTGCAGACCAATAGTCTCATCAGCTGTGCGTGTTGCTGGTCTCAGCTGATCCCAGGCTCAGAGTCACACGTGGTGATCTTGTGCTGCAGTGGTCACATGAGGATGGGGTGGATTTGCAGGACAGCCAGTCTGTTGGAAACCAACCCTTAAACAGCCAGTGGTTCGATAATGGACATTGAGCCATTCAGTTACTGCTCTAGTGGACGTCCCTGCATCCAACATGCCAATGGCACGCTCCCACATAACTTGAGACATCTGAGGCTTTATGAACTGTGCCCACATTTAATATTTTGGGGGCTTTTATTGTCCCCAGTTCAAGAATTGTGCAGCTGTTGCTCATTTTGTCTGATCACCTGCAGGACATGTCCCACCTCTGCACTGGCTAAAAAACAACTTATTGAGTAATGGCTCACTGACAGCAGGTTGGATTAAAAATTATAGACAGATCAAGACAGATATAACTTTGGTACAAAAAATGTCAGCAAATGGCCATTTACACTTGTTAGCTCCACATGGCAACAGTATTTGACATGGGGCATTTATATTTTTGTTCAGTATAGATGATTCTGACAAGGATCTGCAGAGTCCGGGTCTTCCTACCTACCATTGGTGCTGGGTCCATAGGCCAGCAGGAGGTGGAAGAATTTGTCAGAGCTGAAGTTGGAGCTCCTGGAAGTGAAGATGGCGTTCTTGGAGGTGAATGTGCAGGCCAGGACCTTGTTCTGGTTGGAGATCTGTATATCTGAGACATGTCCCTGCCAGAGACATTCACTGGTCATCATCTGAGGTCAGGAACCAACCTCTGGACGCTCCTCAACCAGGACGTTCTGGTGGGGATGAAGTACCTTAGATTGAATCACCGGAGCTTTCCGTCCAACAGAGAAGGCCCGCTGCACATCAGCAATTCCAGCGCTGCTCAGGGCACAGAGGTAGATGTCATCGTTACCCTGAGGATGGGAGACAAGAGCAGAAACTGAACCGTCTGCTTGGACCTTCTCAGACACTGCAGCACTGAAAAGGTCCAGGAAACATTTGGACTTGATAACCAACATCTGATTTGGTTCTCCTCACCATCTTCCGATCATCTGACCACCCAAAAGCTATGTATCCTTCAGCAGGTCCGCACAGCTCGTACCGGACCCCGGATTTGGGCGGAGTCAGAAGCCTGGCTGACATGAAGAAGCATTTGGAGCTGATGGCCGGATTACATTTTGGGGGCTGGCTGAAGCACAGCTTGGTGGAACCGCAGCCGACATTAGAGATGGACTGCAGGGAGACAGCGGACCAATCATCAGAGGATCCTGGGCAGTGGAGGGAACTGGTTCTGACCCAAAGGAAGGAACTGGTTCTGACCCAAAGGAACTGGTTCTGACCCAAGGAAAGAACTGGTTCTGACCCAAAGGAAGGAACTGGTTCTGACCCGAGAAAAGAACTGGTTCTAACCCAAAGGAAGGAACTGGTTCTGACCCAAAGGAAGGAACTGGTTCTGACCCAGAGGAAAGAACTGGTTCTGACTCAAGGAAAGAACTGGTTCTGACTCAAGGAAAGAACTGGTTCTGACCCAAAGGAAGGAACTGGTTCTGACCCTAAGGAAGGAACTGGTTCTGACCCAAAGGAAGGAACTGGTTCTGACCCAAAGGAAGGAACTGGTTCTGACCCAAGGAAAGAACTGGTTCTGACTCAAGGAAAGAACTGGTTCTGACTCAAGGAAAGAACTGGTTCTAACCCAAAGGAAGGAACTGGTTCTGACCCAAAGGAAGGAACTGTTTCTGACCCTAAGGAAGGAACTGGTTCTGACCCAAGGAAAGAACTGGTTCTGACCCAAAGGAACTGGTTCTGACCCGAGAAAAGAACTGGTTCTGACCCAAAGGAAGGAACTGGTTCTGACCCAAAGGAAGGAACTGGTTCTGACCCAAGGAAAGAACTGGTTCTGACCCAAGGAAAGAACTGGTTCTGACCCAAAGGAAAGAACTGGTTCTGACCCAAAGGAAGGAACTGGTTCTGACCCAAGGAAAGAACTGGTTCTGACCCAAAGGAAGGAACTGGTTCTGACCCAAAGGAAGGAACTGGTTCTGACCCAAAGGAAGGAACTGGTTCTGACCCAAAGGAAGGAACTGGTTCTGACTCAAGGAAAGAACTGGTTCTGACCCAGAGGAAAGAACTGGTTCTGACCCAAAGGAAGGAACTGGTTCTGACCCAAAGGAAGGAACTGGTTCTGACCCAAAGGAAGGAACTGGTTCTGACTCAAGGAAAGAACTGGTTCTGACTCAAGGAAAGAACTGGTTCTGACCCAAAGGAAGGAACTGGTTCTGACCCAAAGGAAGGAACTGGTTCTGACCCAAGGAAAGAACTGGTTCTGACTCAAAAAGAACTGGTTCTGACTCAAGGAAAGAACTGGTTCTGACCCAAAGGAAGGAACTGGTTCTGACCCAAAGGAAAGAACTGGTTCTGACCCAAAGGAAGGAACTGGTTCTGACCCAAAGGAAAGAACTGGTTCTGACCCAAAGGAAGGAACTGGTTCTGACCCAAGGAAAGAACTGGTTCTGACCCAAAGGAAGGAACTGGTTCTGACTCAAGGAAAGAACTGGTTCTGACCCAAGGAAAGAACTGGTTCTGACCCAAAGGAAGGAACTGGTTTTGACCCAAGGAAAGAACTGGTTCTGACCCAAGGAAAGAACTGGTTCTGACCCAAAGGAAGGAACTGGTTCTGACCCAAAGGAAAGAACTGGTTCTGACCCAAAGGAAGGAACTGGTTCTGATCCAAAGGAAGGAACTGGTTCTGACCCAGAGGAAAGAACTGGTTCTGACCCAAAGGAAAGAACTGGTTCTGACCCAAGGAAAGAACTGGTTCTGACCCAAAGGAAGCAACCGGTTCTGACCCAAAGGAAAGAACTGGGTCTGACCCAAAGGAAGGAACTGGTTCTGACCCAAAGGAAGGAACTGGTTCTGACCCAGAGGAAAGAACTGGTTCTGACCCAGAGGAAAGAACCGGTTCTGACCCAAAGGAAGGAACTGGTTCTGACTCAAGGAAAGAACTGGTTCTGACCCAAAGGAAGGAACTGGTTCTGACTCAAGGAAAGAACTGGTTCTGACCCAGAGGAAAGAACCGGTTCTGACCCAAAGGAAGGAACTGGTTCTGACTCAAGGAAAGAACCGGTTCTGACCCAAAGGAAGGAACTGGTTCTGACCCAAAGGAAAGAACTGGTTCTGACCCAGAGGAAAGAACCGGTTCTGACTCAAGGAAAGAACCGGTTCTGACCCAAAGGAAGGAACTGGTTCTGACCCAAAGGAAGGAACTGGTTCTGACCCAAAGGAAGGAACTGGTTCTGACTCAAGGAAAGAACTGGTTCTGACCCAAAGGAAGGAACTGGTTCTGACCCAAAAAGAACTGTTTCTGACCCAAAGGAAGGAACTGGTTCTGACCCAAGGAAAGAACTGGTTCTGACCCAAGGAAAGAACTGGTTCTGACCCAAAGGAAGGAACTGGTTCTGACCCAGAGGAAGGAACTGGTTCTGACCCAAAGGAAGGAACTGGTTCTGACCCAGAGGAAGGAACTGGTTCTGACCCAAAGGAAAGAACTGTTTCTGACCCAAAGGAAGGAACTGGTTCTGACCCAAGGAAAGAACTGGTTCTGACCCAAGGAAAGAACTGGTTCTGACCTAGTCAGGTTGGGTTCTTAGTTATTTTCAAGATGGTGTATCTTGTTTGCTTCCTATGTCCTGTTCCAGGAAACAGGAAGTAGAACATGAGACTTCCTGTTTAACTGTAGATGTGACTCGGTTTATTTGGCTTGACACTCAGTTTTGCCGGCAGTCTGTAATAACGAGTCTCTTGCCTTTAAGCTAATCTATTTCCTGTGGATCAGGAAGTAGCAGCGATTAGTAAGGATCAAGAGTTAAAGGCAGTCGTCCAGATGACAAACCTGTGGAGGAATGAAAGTGTCTATCAGAGCCAGCAGAAGAGTTTTGACAAAGCTGTTCAATGAGATTCTCGAGGGACAAGATGCCTGAGGAATGGAGGAGAAGTTTGCTGGTAATAATTTTCAAGAATAAGGGAGATGTCCAAAATTGTGGCAATTACAGAGGAATAAAGTTATGACTCATTCAATGAAGATAAAGGAACAAGTTGTTGAAGCCAGACTGAGGTCAGAAGTGAACAGCACTATGGTTTTCATAAACATTCAAGAAAATGTTCTAAAGATGCAATCACTGCATTGTGGATGTTGATAGAAAGGTCCAGAGAATATGAGAGGAGATGCTCTGTGTTTCTGTAGATCTAGAGGAAGCGTATGACATGATTCCTAAAGAGGCGCTGTGGTTCTGCATGAGGAAGTCTGGACAAACAGAGAAACATGTCACAGTGGTGAAGGACATGGATGTCAGACTGTGGTGAGGTGTGCTGCAGGAGGGACAGAGCAGTTCAAGGTGGAAGTGGGACTTCACTAAGGATGGGCTCTGAGCCTTTCCTGTTTCTGTGGGGATGGACAAGTTGATGACATGAATCTTCATATTCATGTTTGCAGATGACATTGTGATCTGTGGTGAGAGCAGAGAACAAGTGGAGGAATGAAGGCTGTAGAAAGACACAATGCATAATGAAGTGGAGACAAGAGGTTACAGGGAACAGAAATAAAGATAGTGAAAGATTTGAAGAACCTCGGCTCAACAGAAACGGGTCCAAGATGTGAAAGAGTTTTAGTGAGAATGAAAGGAAAGGTGAGCGACACGGTGGCAGTGATGAAGATGTTGAGCTTGTCTTTAGGAGAGACATGAATGTAGTCGGAAGACAGGGTTACATGGAGACGGACGACTCGCTGTGGGAACCTTTGAAGGGAAAAAGCCAAAAGGAAAAGAAGAGGTTAAACTCAGAGATATCTAAAAGAAAAACTCAATCATCCATATGTGCATATTCAAGTCCACAACATGAAAAATAACTCAATTTACATAAAGATTACAAGATTTTGTCACAATCTCAGTGAGACACCCTGAGCAGAACAATTACCATAAGATGAAATCCCTACAAACTAGCAGCAGCTGGTGGAACCTGCCTTTAATCACAGCAATCTGCAGTTATAATGCGATAGAAGCAATAACTGATTCAGCCGAGATGCACTTAGACATGATGGGATTTAGACTAAATCTGAGCAGGTTCCACTGGGTGACCCTGACCTTGACCCTGACCTTGACCCTGACCTTGACCCTGACCTTGACCCTGACCTTGACATAACCTCTAAGCCAAAAGAAATACAGAAAGTGTTTTTATTCAGACCCAAAGGCTAGAACTGATTCTGATCTTGATTCTGATCCTGCTGAGCTTCAGATGTTTCTCGAGCTGCAGCTGATCTGAAAGTTCTGGTTTTAGTTTTACGGGTCAAACGGACTAAGTGTTCTGGTGCCTCTCAGACCCAAACAGCCCGGTTCCTCCTGTGTGACTGGGGAGGTTCTGTGGTTGGAATCAGAAACTAAATCCAGACTCCAGTTGAACGACGGTCACTCACAGCAAACCCGGGAGGCGGGGTGCCGGGAGGCGGGGTGCCGGGAGGCGGGGTGCCGGGAGGCGGGGTGCCGGTATCCGCGCCCGGCTTCCATTCAGACTCAGAACCGGACTTTTCACTCCGACCCAGAAAGTTCTGTAGCTTTGAACAAAGGAGGCTCTGCAGGAACGAGAAGAGAAGCACCTGAGGTCCAGACTGAGCTGCAGAACCGCAGCAGAACCTGGAAGGACCCATCTGAGCCTCACTGGAACTGGACCGCTCCAACGGTTCTGTCTCGGTCCGGCTGCCAGGTCACCTGGATGTTGCTCTTTGGAGAACCAGAGGAGTGGGAGACGGCAGAGTTCTGAGGACACAAACATTAGAGGTCTCTGATTCTGGTGATTCCTGGAGTTTCTGCAGAGTGATCTGGTTCTGGACCCTGGTTCTGGACCCAGGTCACTCCGTTTTTGGTACCATCAGGTTCCAGGTTCAGTCATGCATTTCAGTGCAGGTGGGAGGAGCACTCACGGGTTTCTGGAAGCAAGCGAGGAGCCGGCCGGACCAGAACCCAGTAGAAACGAGCCCACAGCAGACCGGCCTCCCGGCTCTCTGGCCTCCAGCAGGAACCCGATAAATGGACCGGAACTCGGACCCTGGAGAGAGACTGGAGAACAGGAAGGCTGTCAGACTGGGACCAGAACCCCCAGTCCAGTAAAGATCCTGCTGTTCCATGATGGAGGTTCTGGTTCTGTGGAACAGAACCCACAGCAACCAGAGACAGGAGGAAGATCAGTGACGGACCACTTCCTGCTGCACACCGAGAAATATAATAATTGAGAAACAAGCGAACCGTGTCTGAGTTTTATTTTGAAAGGCAGAATACTGCTGAGTCACTACTGGGGTGGGGGAGAAGCTGGTTACCAGTGGACAGACAGGTTTCTGTTTGTAGAAAACGAACAAAAACCTAATTATGACATTTTGTCTAGAGGACCAGTCAAGTGTTTTTTACCTTTGAAGGCTCGGCGACTGACCTTTGACCTGTCCTCCATGCACGGGGCCGCTCCGCTCCGCTCCCACGGTGAACGGCGCGGCGGCGGTCTGGGGAGCGGCGTGGTGGTTGGGGGTCATGTCCGCGCAGCTCTCCGACACCAAGCCTGAGGGTAGCAGCGAGCGGCAGGAGCGGCCCAGATCAGAACCAGCAGCAGCGCGATCCGCTTCATGATGCGCAGCAGCTCCAATGCTGCAGGAGAGGAGGAGACAGAGCTACACCTGCTGAGGGCGGGGCTTTGTGCCGACAGGTGATACGATGGGAGGGAAGCCGGCAGAAGCTGCAGTTCTCTGGTTTCCTGAGCAGCAGCTCGCCTGAGGGAGCAGAGGGAACTTCCTGTTTCCTGCAGGAAGCTGGAGGCGGTTCTGTGCCGTTCACAGGCAGAAAGAGGAAACAACTAAAGTTAAACTTTTTCCCTGAACAGAAGCAGGAAAATCAGCGATGACTCTGACAGCTGGAGTATTCAGCTAGACGAGCTGGACGTCTCCCAGATCCATCATCCAGTCTGACCTTCCAGTCTGACCTTCCAGTCTGACCTTCAGCTCCTCCTGGCTTCACCAGCATGAAGCTCTCAGCTTCCTGGAACCGTTTGAATGCGAAGATGTTCTTGTGTTAAAATTTGTTTCCTGTCTGGAGCGCACACTGCAGCCAGAGAGGCGGTCCAACCAAATCCACGGCGCTTCTGATTGATTTCTCAGTAAAACATATCATCATGTCAACATGGCTGCTGCTGTAGAGCAGTGCTTATGCTTGAGACAAGTGTTGTCCAACATGCATGGTCTGGATTATTTGGCTAACATCTATGGGGACAATCAGGGGACCATTTCCATAGCCAAAAAATCCTGTGTACAGACAAAGATGTGAGCATGTTGATATTAAATATAATTTGGTCATATCAGTTATAAATGAGAGAAAAGGTTTTCTAGAGTATTGTCCAACTAATGAAATGGTTGCAGACATACTAACCAAACCAGCAACAAAGATTCAGTTGAGGAAGTAGAAAATGTTTGTTTGGCGTCTCATGAAGGTATTTTAGTTGAAATATTAAGTCAGAAAAAGTTACCCAAATGTGAGCAATGGGGTTGTTGACATGATGAATGTTTTGTGCTCTCATTTGTTGTTGGATTATTGCGTCACATGACCCGACCTGTCTGGTTTAACACACTGTGTAAAAATCAGGGTTTTGTCTTTCAAACAAAGGAAACATGAAACCAAACTGTGTCACGTGGAACGCTGAGCCAAAAGTGATTCTGCTAACACAACAATCGTACAGGATCATGTGGCTTGTACCTCCATGAAGATGTCAAGTCTTGTAGGGTTAAGGAACACATGAAATTATGAAGTTATAAAAAAGTACAATACAAATATAAATCAAATTTGTCAGACATCAAACAGATAAAGGCAAAGGCCTTCAGTTCTCACATCAATTCAGATCATTATCGGCTCAGAGCTGCTTTCCCTGCTTGATATTCCTCAGTTTTAAGGTCCTGAAGCTTTAAGCTTTACAGCAGTGGATGAAGAATTTGGCGAAGATCAGCTGGTTGTTCAGAATGATGTTGGTTCTTCTGTCTCTGGGTGGGCAAAAATATTCTATTCTCTCTGTTTAAGGGATGATGTAAGGAAAGTTTTAATGAGATCCAGTTTTGATGAAAGTTTCCCCAAAATGTTCCAGTTGGTCTGTTGCTTCAAAAGGTCCAGTTGTTGGTGTCATAGTCGATGCATCACTCATCACCTGGATCACCTGGAGAGAGAGGTGAGGGTTAGGGTTGATGAGAACAAGGTGAGTGTTTTTATTAATGGTATATTATTTGTATATTTTGTTGCTCTTACAGTGTGTTCACATACAAAAGCATTCATTAAAGAACTGTGATTCGATCGGGACACTATATTCTCCATTGCCATTACCCTGTATATATGTCTGGAGTTGTTATCTTAACCTTTCTTTAGTTTTACCCTTCATCCTGTCATCATGGAAAAATTATATATAATGATAAAGTAACATTGTTGTTGTCACCCTGTGGTTTGGACTACAAAGTAATTATTTTTATTGAGCTTAACCAATTTTGATGATTATTTCTTCAAAATCTCTGAAGTTGTTCAGAAGAGCAGCAGGTGAGGCAGCATTGAGTCGAGCCTCACCTGGATTCATCAACCTCTGGCCCACTGCACTGCTGCTACTCAGCAGCTCCTCCTGTCTGACCGCCGCCACTAAAACGCTGACAAAATATTTCATATAGCAACTGATTTTACAACATTTAGCTCATCTATATAACCTTCAGCGCTTTTCCTCTCCAACTGTGTGTGTAACGTGTTTTGAGCTGAGCAGAAACCAGGGAACAGACTGGAGGTGAGGCAGGCAGTTCTCTGGCCTCATGGCAGGGGGCGCTCATCCCAGACACTGAGACTGCACACTGCAGAGGAAGAGACAGTAACAGGAAGATAGCCTTGGAGCTAGCCATGGAGCTAGCCCTGGGGCTAACCACGGAGCTAGCCTTGGAGCTAGCCATGGAGCTAACCATGGAGCTAGCCAGGGAGCTAGCCATGGAGCTAGCCTTGGAGCTAGCCTTGGAGCTAGCCATGGAGCTAGCCAGGAAGCTAGCCAGGAAGCTAGCCATGGAGCTAGCCAGGGAGCTAGCCAGGGAGCTAGTCAGGGAGCTAGCCAGGAAGGTAGCCATGGAGCTAGCCAGGAAGCTAGCCATGGAGCTAGCCAGGGAGCTAGCCAGGAAGCTAGCTAGGGAGCTAGCCACGGAGCTAGCCTTGGAGCTAGCCAGGGAGCTAGCCATGGAGCTAGCCAGGGAGCTAGCCAGGAAGCTAGTTAGGAAGCTAGCCATGGAGCTAGCCATGGAGCTAGCCATGGAGCTAGCCAGGGAGCTAGTCAGGGAGCTAGCCAGGAAGCTAGCCATGGAGCTAGCCAGGGAGCCAGTCGGGGAGCTAGCCAGGAAGCTAGCCATGGAGCTAGCCAGGGAGATAGCCAGGGAGCTAGTCAGGGAGCTAGCCAGGAAGCTAGCCAGGGAGATAGCCAGGGAGCTAGTCAGGGAGCTAGCCAGGAAGCTAGCCATGGAGCTAGTCATGGAGCTAGTGATGGAGCTAGCCATGGAGCTAGCCTTGGAGCTAGCCTTGGAGCTAATCGCAAAATTAACATTAAGCCTAACACCAAACTGCTGCAGCAGACTGAATGTCTTGTTCTTTGTGTTGGAAATATTTGAGTGTTTTTTTTTGTCTGTTTCATTGTTCTTAATTGCTATGACAACGAGTCTGAGCTAAGCTACGCTAATACAGAGAAAGAGGAAAATGTTGTTGAGTTGGACTTTAACTGTTCCTCCCTTTGCTGTGGAGCATAAAATGAATCATATCTACAGATCCAAGTTTGACTCAGTTAACAGATCAATGTGCAGCGCGGCTGTGGATGACATGTTTGATGACATGTACAGGAATAATGTTTTTGCCTTCCAGCTTTTACATGCGCCAAATTTCCTTACATAAACAATAACATGCAGGGGGTCTATATTGTAAATCCGATGATGATTTAGTTGGTGCCTCACAGGTTATGAACCTCACTGCATGTCACTGATCAGCCTGATATGACATTTTTCTACTCGAACTAAATCCTTGTTATCCATGAAAAAGTAAATTGTGGAATATGAGTGTTGAGCTGCTGAGTAAAGTATCTTTAATCATCTTCTTTATCTTCCTGCCGATGCTCCAATTAACAGTTTAATGTTTCTTTCTTCAGAAGGATTTCATCTTACATTGAAGTCTCCACCACAGACGACTCTGAGCATCATGTCTAAAATGTGTTTCTAAAATGTCCACAGTGAAGCTGCTTCTCCAAATGTGCTTTTGCAGACCTGAAGCCAGTGACTGTGTTGTCACATCACTGTCCCATGTGGCTTCATTAAAGAATAATCATTTTAAAAAAATCAACAAAACGTGTTAAAATGAATAATCAGTCATTATTATTGTTACAACAAGGTGTTGTGCAATTCATTGTGTTTCAGATCCATTAAGAAATAAAAAGCGACTCAAAGAGCGACTGAGGAGCAGAGCAGGAGTTTTAATGATCTCCTCAACCATCGCTGTGTTCATGAGAGGCTCATCAATCATCCATCAATAAATATCAAGCCTAGAAACTTGATATCGTAACAGAACTCCATGTTTTTAACGTAATGTCTGCTCAGCAACGGGTGTCCTGCAGCGATAAAGACACGGAGAGTAAAAATGGTTCTTCTGCTGTTTTGTTTTTGCCAAGTAGGAGGGACGACCTCTCCAAGATGGCCGCCCAAGCAGCCAATGAGGGGCCTGCTCTTTATGAAAGTCCCTACTAATGGAGGCAGAGCTTCATAAACCACGCCCCACTTCCCAGGCTTTCCTCCCAGGAAGTCTTTAGGAAGCTGAGCTGCTGGTTTTCCTCAGATTCAGAATTGCTGACGCCCTCAGAGCTGCATCAGCTTTCAACTTTTATTATCTTCATTTTTGTGCATTTTGTGCATTTTTCTGTTTAATTTTTATGGAGCTAAATTCTACAAGATTCATAGACTTTCTCACCACCAAGTTTTTCCTCTCACAAGAATGTGCCTGACCTTTACCCTGCAACCACACCTTCACCTGCTCAGATTTCACCAATGTGTGTGTGTGTGTGTGTGTGTGTGTGTTTTTCCACCTTTAGACTCGGCTCTAAACTGCTTTCCTGCAGTTTTCTGACTCTGGTTGTTTTTCTTGTTTCTGATTGGACTCTTCAATCGTCCTCATCCAGAATTAGTCAAATTTCTTCTCCCAACAGAGAACCAGGTTTTATTATTCTCTCTCTTAAACTCTTCATCTGAGTTTACAGCTTTGGAGGTGATGATGATGCTCTGAGCAGCTGACCAATCAGAGAACAGCTCTTAGTAACCTTTGCTCTGGTTGGACTCTGGATCTTCAGCAGCAGGCAAACACAGGGTCCTCGTTCTCCTGGCAGTTTGATCCACAATGAAGTTCCCTTCTCTCCTTCCTTCCATTCTGCTGCTTGGCGTCTTCTTCCCTGCAGCTGATAGTGGACACTTTCTTGCCTTCCCAGGTGAGCACAGCCACTGGCTGAACATGCGAACCATCATAGAGGAGCTTGTGAGGAGAAATCACAAGGTGACCGTCCTGGTGCCGGACGCTTCGCCGTCGGTCAACTATAACAGCAGTCGAGATGCCGCCAAGTTCAACTTCTTGGTCTTCAAGGTAAAAATATCCAACCTATGAATGTCCATCTATCAGTATCAGTGTTAAACATTACCTAGACTACTTGTGAGTGATTCCACTTCCTAACCCTTGAGCTCACTGACAGTATTGATCAATAACTGATACTCTGATCAGCTCCTTGTGTTTCTCTCAGGTTCCATTCAGTAGATCAGACATGAACAACATTATGCAGGATTTTATTCACTTCTCCATGTACAAGGCCCATAACTCCTCCCTGCTGGACCGTTTTCTAGTGCCGCTGTCAATCATGGGGAAGTTCTCCCAAATTGGGAAGCAGCAGTGTGACGCCATGCTGAAAAATCAGCAGTTGATGGCGACCCTGCATGACGCCGCTTTTGATGTGGTCATCTTGGACCCCATGGTGTTGTGTGGCGATCTGGTGGCCGATGTGCTCGGTGTGCCTCTGGTCCTTTCGCTGCGGTTCTCATTTGGCAGCACCTTGGAGCGTCACTGCGGCCAAGCACCGATGCCAGCATCCTTCATCCCTGCGTCTCCACTTCCATACAGTGACTACATGACCTTCTGGGAACGGCTGGTCAACATGCTGACCTACACAGGGCTGTCTGTGTTGAGCGAAGTGTCCTGGAAAATGATGCTTGATTCTTTCTACACTGAGATCAAAGGTGGTGCAGATCATCTTTTGTTATTTAAATCCATCATAAAAAGCCCCAAAAAGAGAGCATGAACTCACCGCAGGGTGGAGACATCCGCTCTATCAGAGCTCTGAGTTTTATTCTATAGTCCCACAGCTTCTCCACAGCTTTGTTTTCATTCTAATATTGAAATATGATGATGCATAATATAAAGACTGAGGAAAGCGTGTCTATCACACCTCACGATCAATCAAAGTTGACTTTGGGCAAATACTTTCAGACTGCCAGGGTTTGAGTTGAATTTGATCAAGTTCTTTTCCTCCAGAAAAACATCTGAGTCGTGTTTGTGTGAACAGGAAGTCCTAGCAGCTTCTGCAGCTCCTTGGGGAGGGCTGATGTCTGGCTGATCAGGACCTTCTGGGACATAGAGACACCACGGCCAATACCTCCAAACTTTTTCTATGTGGGAGGTCTTCACTGCAGACCAGCCAATCAGCTGCCAGAGGCATGGTTCAACTTCCTGTTTGACTTACAGCTCAAAGTGATGAAACAACATTAAACTGGTCACTTCCTGCAGGACCTGGAAGCCTTCATGCAGAGTTCTGGAGATGCTGGTGTAGTGCTTGTCACCTTTGGCTCCATGGTAACCAATCTGGCACCAGACAGAGCAAATGTCATCGCTTCTGCTTTGGGCCGACTACCACAGAAGGTCAGAGATTCCACCTACTCACTTCCTGTTTCTTCTCGCCATTTAACCACTGTCGTCATGTGACATCTTTCAGGTAATTTGGCGCTACCGTGGCAAAACCCCGGCAACTCTTTCACCAAATACCAAGCTTTTTGATTGGATCCCTCAGAATGACTTGCTTGGTATGACTTCCTGTCTCAGCTTTTCAAACTAAAAGCCTTCTCTCTTTTCCTCTTCCTGTTAGAGCTTTTCAAAGTAAAACTACATTACTTTGTCATCTGGTACTAAATCAGCAGCAGCTTTTCTTTTTCTTTCTTTTTTTTTTAAATAAAACCTTCACAATAAGAGCCCTGTGACCTTCAGGGACACCAACTGACCCGTGCCTTTGTGACGCATGGCGGGACGAACGGTTTATACGAGGCATTGTTTCATGGCGTTCCAGTTGTCGGCATCCCACTGTTTGGTGATCAGCCAGACAATCTGGCCCGTCTGAGCCGCCGCGGTGCCGCCGTCGTCCTCCACTTCAACCGCATGACAGTGGATGAGCTGGAGGAGGCGCTGCATACTGTCATCAATGAACCCAGGTGAGAGTTCTGGTTAGAGGTGGCAAGGTAGATGCAGTTGGACCACAAATGATGGTTTTAATAATGAAGCGTACAGAAATCCAGGCTGCAGAGGTGAGCGATGAGACAAAACAAAACGCAGACACTGGTAGCGCTGGTGGTCACTAAACAAAAGCACAACATGGATCCCATGGGGAACAAGAAAGTCAGGAGGGATTAAATATGGTGGGAAGATAATCAGGGAACACGAGACACAGCTGGGAGCAATCAGGGGCATGAGATGCCACAGGAACCAAATGAACACAGAAGAAACAAATCCTCACAGTGACCTCACAGGAAGCAGGATTTTAGTTTGAAAGGGTGCAACCCTATTTCAGAAGATTTGCCCACTGAAATAAATCTCTTGGCCTGTTCTTGTTGCAGCATCTTCACAGTAAAAGTGTTGACTTGTTTTTCTTCCCTTGATGCTCAGCTTCAGGTCCAACATGCAGCAGCTCTCTTCGCTACAGCATGAGCAGCCGGTGGCGCCACTGAGCACTGCCACCTTCTGGTTGGAGTTTGTGCTGCGTCATGGAGGAGCTAAACACCTAAGGCTGGCGTCACATGACCTGTACTGGTTCCAGTACTACAGCTTGGACACAGGAGTGACTATACTCCTCATCATAGTTGTGGGCGCCGCTCTGTGCTGGGTGGGGCTTCGCTGCGTCCTGCGCCACTGCAAAGGGCGAAAACAAAGACAGAAGAACGACTAACCAGCTGTTTTGACAATTATGGTTTTATCTGGATCCGTTTGATCCAAGCAGAACACCAGATGCAGTTTTCAGTGGTTCTTCACATTTTTCCCTGACTGCGTCTTCAGGAGACTGGAGTTTGTCCTGCATCATGGAGACTCTCAACAGGCTATTGGATTATATATCTTTATTAATACATTAACCAGCAATGTAACAAAACATAACATGATATGACAAAAACACATTATGGGCTGCAAATGAGGGGAATGGGGAAAATTATTACACTCATGTACCACAAGCCAAAAGCTCCAGTTTCAATCATATTTTGTAAGAATATTGCATTGAATTTACTGTTGGTTTTGTTGAAGTTATTTTGAAATGAGAATATTTTGTTTTGATTTTAAGAAATTGTTAACTGTTCGATTTAAACTATACGATCACACAAAACAAATAAAAAAAAAACAACAAAAAAAATTATTTCATAAAGAATTCTGCGGAGTGCTGGTGGAGCTGAGGGACTCGCAGGCAGTCACGTCTTGAAGATTTGTCTTTTTTTATCACTCTAGAGAAAGTTACATATAGCATCTGTTCAATATCAGCAATGCATCAGAGACAACAGCCGTGCAACAATAAGGCGCCATTATGTACATTTATATGCATGAAGCAGGTACTGTATACACAGGAATCATTACTGGACACATCACCAACTTACACACAACATTTGTAATATATTGTCAGGTTCAAACAATCTGAGAACTTTCACACAGAAAAAGAAGAGAGAGACAAGTTATTTCATTTTACAGTCAGAGTGGATAGCAGGAAAAAAGACGTCTCCATCATAGTTTCCTAAACCCACTGAGATTTCTTTCCTACTCTTCCTGTTTTATTAGCAGTTGGTTGTTTCCTAATTACCCCAGTTTAGCAGCTGCTGGAAGGGGAGGGGCAAACAACCCCAGCTGCTAACACAGTCATAAATCTTTCCAAATACAATGAGTCTCCTATCTTAATACATGTAAGGTTTCAGGTGCAGTTTGATATCTCTGGCTCACAAACTTCAACTGTTAACCTTTTGGAGGTGATGATGATGATTTCACCCAAATCATCATCATCATCATCATCATGCCCGCGCTCAGTTTTGGCTCTAGAGTTGCTGGTATTTCCTTCCAGTTTGGCACATTATGACTTCCTGCAGATATCTGTCACAAAGCACACATTCCAGAAGCAAGTCAAAGAATCTCACAATCCTTACATAGATAGATTAGTATTTATATGGGTTATTATTTAATTCCATCATCATTAACTTGTAGCACTGACATTGTGGAGATGAGTTGTGAAGAACAAGTCTGAGATTGGTTGTTTCTAGAGAGCACTGGGAAAAGGCAGAGTATTTTTATTCCTCATATCTCATCATACTGTGATAACATTATCATCATTTTAGCAAATGTATTTAATAAATAATAAAATGTACATACTGCAGCTTTAACTTAGAGGGATAACAGGTCAGGAGGGATGTAGCAACATGTAATGTTACACAGGAACCTTGTAAAGTGCAAGTTAAGGTCAAACTGTGTGGACTGGGTCAGTCCAGACCAGAGGATGTTTTTACTATCATTTTATAAAGATTGTTAGAATTTCTTTGGTTGTGTTTTGTAAACGATTAGACAGAGAAATACCTATAAACTTACTGGAATGATGCAAAGTAAGTTTTCATAGAACACAATGTTGTTCACCTTTTTTCACTGGGACGTGTTAAAGGGTTAGAGAGTCACATAAGAGCAGAGTATGGAGAGGCTAAAAAGGAAAGGAAACAGATCCATTATGCTGTATACATTACCAACTACTTTTTCTTATTTCATGTTGAACTCATCAACATAATACTGACAGTTACTGAAAATCATGTTTAAAAAGTTGTGGAATATTTGAATGTCTATTCAGTGCCACCCAGAACTGAATCCCTCCAGTTTTTCATAATTCTGCAGACACAGAATATCGAGCATGCTTGAATTTTTCCAAGCTTATATATTACTGTGAGTTTATAACAAATTTGTGTTAAAATTTCTCTCACCTGCCGGTGGTGTTATTTACTTTTTCACACAGCTGCTTCAGCCCAAGTTTTTATCACATTATAGACTGTAATCAAAATTATGCATAGAAATTGAGCTACTTAAGTTATTCAAATCAAATCCAATTTTATTTGTATAGCACCTTTCAGTAACATATTTGCATGAATGAGATGATCGTTCAGATTTTTGCTCCTGTGGAAAGCAGACATGAGCCTCCTGTCTTTCAGCCTTCCACTAACAGATTGAAACTATTAAAATGTTGCTTCAAATCTAGTGCCAGATTAACACAACCAGGTGATTAATTATCTCCTTAAGAAGGACATAAAGCACCCCCTGCTGGACAAAGCCACAAAGCGCATCTTTAGTTTTTCTAAAGAAATGTGATTCTTGTTTTCAAATTCTTTTGAACTGCAATAATTGTGACTTAACTAAAATCCAGCAAACTTTTTATTTTGGTGGAAACTTAATTTAAATAATATATGTGTGAATCAGTTGGTTTGGAATAAACTTTGATGTCCAGTTATGCGTACTGCTGAAATTTGGATCTTTAAAGGTTGAGGTTTCAAAGAAATCCTCTGCAGTAAGTTTGGTTGTTGTGAATCTGAGCTCACAGCAATCACTTCAATCTGATACTTATAAATATTTGTGTGGATATGGATCAAATCAGGAGAACTCCAATTCAAAGTTTACTCTTTATATAGAAAGGTTGGAAGAATGTACATACATGGAAGCATGTGTGTTTGTGGTCTCTGTAGAAAAAAACTGAATACAAACCAATTAGAAATCTTACTAATTCCTTTAACTTAGTCTGATCTTATGATGACATTATCCACATGATAACAAGAGACATATGAAGACGTCAGTAAAAACATTTTTATGTTATCCAACTGCTGCTTATGCAAAGCTTCATTTAAATACAAAACTAATAAATCAACTAAACACACTCATGATTTAACAGAAACAGAATTGTGTGAATAACATCAAACTCACAATTTTATGAACGCACACAGTCAGTCATTCATTTGCTTTCCTCTCTGTGGAGGCAAGTCCTCCTCTGAATACTAACCCTATATATACTATATATACTCTATATATAATATATATAGAGTATATATACTCTATATATATAGTATATATACTATATATACTATACCCCAAATGTCATTCAAATACTTGAAATAATGCAAAGGCTTATTGCAGGCACTCATTGCACATGTTTCCCAATCAGCCATAAATAATGTTTTAGCTTCTATTTTCACATTAGCCACAGCTCAGCTACATGTCATGTCTGAGAATTTGTTGGATGAAGGAGTTTTATCTTAATGCTGCCCTGAAGGCTGGAATTTGGTTTTAAAAATTTACTCTTTTAAATCTCTTTTATTTCATTTTATTTTTCTTCAAACTCCATTTTTAAGACAGAAATCACAGCTCAGCTTCAAATCTAATGACTGAATTTCTGCTAGGTGCCAGAAATGTGTTAATCTATTCTGAACATCAGAAATGACTTTAAAATGTCTCAGCATTACCCAGAATACATTGCATGGTGGGCCTTCAGATTTTAGCTTCTAGTTCAGCTTTTTTTTTGCTGCAATCACTAACCCTAAACCATATACACTTTAGATCAAGATGAGCTTTTCTTTCAAACTACATAAGTTAGGACGATGTTTGAAATATTTCAAAAAATCAGCACCATGACTCAGAAATGGGTGTGCATTGTTGAAGTGCTCTTTCAGAAAATCACCTGCCTGCGCATTGGGTAAGTCTCACTTTGAAATTATAAGTTTCAACAACATATACTGAGCATTCTAGAGGTCTTGCGGTGTATGATGGCACTAGAATCGCTCTTTCCTCTCATTTCAGGGGTGGTGGTTTGAATCCCAGCCGGTGTCTGGAGACCTTGAAGGCAGCAGCTACCTGCAGCTGGTCCAGATTCTTCTTCCCTGGGAGGATAATTGGGTAGCAACACCTTGCTATTGCTGCTTTTGCTCATCCTTCTGTGGAACACAACTGCAACAACCTGGTGGAGATCTACTGGTGTGCAGTTCACTCTGCACTGTGAAGCTAAGGTGAGTCAGTAAACTTGCAGGCTGCCAGGATTCAACACAGACCAGTAGAGAAGAGAATCAACGGAGAACCCTTCTGCTTCCTGGGCATGCTGGTTCCACCTTGCGGTGTTAACGGACAGTGTGTTTTTAAAACCAGGGGCGCGGTACGTATCAGCCTTCCCAGGTTCCGCCTATAGGAACAGCACGTGGGAAAGGTGACTCCAGGACTCGGGAGTCTTAAATGCAGTCCAGTCTTCTAGAGGAATAGCCTCACACACAGCAACATGCACTCCAGCTGGTATTCTCTATTCAGTCCTACAGCTTAGAAATGCAGAAGGAAAGAATTTTAATTTCAGAAAATCTTCAGCTTAACGTCAATAGCTTTAACTTCATATGACCTGAGCTATAAAATTTCATGTAATATCATTGCAGGGTTGGGTCCCAATCAGCTTAAATAAAATTCTTTAGACATGATGTAGTTGAGAAAAATTAACATATCAGGAAACTCATTTTAAATGTCAAAGACAGCAGTTTCACAATTTATTGATGAAATCCAAAACTCTTCAGTGTCTATTAAGATTAGGACTATTTCTGAGTTCCAAAACAAAATGATACACAGTATAGCTGTAACTGTTTTAGCAATGTGGCCCATTCAAAGTACTGCTAACAGGTAGGCTAATATCTATCTCCCTAAATCAGGGGTGGGCACTCCTGGTCCTCAAGGGCCGGTTTCCTGCAACTCTTGGTTGTCTCCCTGGTCCAACACACCTGAATCCAACAGCTGAATCACCTCCTAAATGCAGTCAAGTTCTCCAGAGTCCTGCCAATGACCTCATTATTTGACTCAGGTGTGTTGAAGTAGAGATGCATCTAAAAGTTGCAGGAGACTGGCCCTCGAGGACCAGAAGTGCCCACCCCTCCCCTAAATGGTGAAATTCCTCTAAGCCAATTTCATTGCTGCTGTTCTAAACAGCTAATTTCAATCTCTGAATATATTATGACATTTCGTTTAATTGATTCCAAACCTACTTTACATAATTTTCCACTTATGGTAGTACGCTCATAGTTATGTGTAAAGAGCCTTGTAACAATTGCAATCTGCCTGTTAGAAGAGCACCTTGCAAATAAAAATGCACCCTAATTTTTAGTGATGTGCTTTAACTCTGCATTGGATTGTTGAAGTTTTCTACCTTTTACATATGGGCATCTTGCTTTCAATTGACACTTTCTGTTGCCGTAAGGGTCCAATTTTCACTCTGAAAAGTCAGTTCTCAAGCTCAGCCAACACATTTTTGGCTGCTTCCATGTAAAAACAGCATGATGCTCTTCATGTCCCACACAGATCCTTGTGGTACATTTTGCCACCTATTGGCTAATCCTAAATCTCTAACTGGGACCTTCAAATATAAATTTTTTTGGACACTATTTAACCCCAGTAGCTCCATCTCTTTAAAGAGTAGTGCTCTGGAAAAATATAGTAAAAATCTTAGAGTAAACTGAACATTTTATTATTAAATCAACTATTATAGTAAATGGAAAACTTAACATCTCAATATACAATTTAATTTAAATGTAAAATCTTAAATTTTCATTTAATGTTAAACTTATGAAGAGATTGAAATTAACTTTAGAACAGTGGCAATTTATAACACCCTAACATTTTTGTACCAAAAGAATTCTTAAAATCCTTATTTCCACATATTGGGAAATTATTTTAAGGAGCATTGATAACAGTTGCACAATTGATTAAAGAAATCCAACTCTTCAGTGTCTGTTCAGATTAGGATTATTTCTGAGCTCCAAAACAAAACGATACATAGAATAGCTGTAACTCTTTCAGCAA